ACATATACCTCAGGAGAAAAGAGGTAAGTTGGATGAAAAGACTGAAAAAGGAATTTTCTTAGGTTATAGTACTCAATCAAAAGGCTATCGAGTATATAACCTAAGAACAAAGAAGCTAATTATAAGTTGAGACGTAAAGTTTGATGAAGATGCCACCTACAACTGGGAGACTGGTCAAATTGAGAAAAAAGATGTCAGCACCCTTACACAACCACAAAAGCAGGAGAGTGATGTTGAGGAGAACAATCAACCAGAGTCTCCGCAGCATACAGTTATAGAAGAACCAGTTGACTCACCAGAATCATCGCCAAGAAAGACACGAAGATTATCAGAAATATATGAAAGATGCAACTTGATGATCATAGAACCTGAAAGCTATGAAGCAGCTTCAAAACAACCAGAATGGAGAAATGCTATGGATGAAGAAATAAAAATGATCGAGAAAAACAATACTTGGGAGCTTGTAGATCCTCCTCAAGATAAAGAAGTCATAGGAGTTAAGTGGGTCTACAAGACAAAACTCAATGCTGATGGCTCAATTCAAAAACATAAAGCAAGACTAGTTGCCAAAGGATACTCACAGCAATTTGGCATCGATTACACTGAGACATTTGCCCCTGTTGCACGTCTCGATACTATAAGGGTGTTAATTGCACTAGCCGCACAGAAAAGGTGGAAGATTTACCAGCTGGATGTCAAATCGGCATTTCTTAATGGCTATCTTGAAGAAGAAATTTATGTGGAGAAACCTCAAGGGTACGTGGTTCGAGGTAAAGAATATAAAGTTTTCAAACTAAAGAAGGCACTATATGGATTAAAGCAAGCTCCGCGAGCCTGGTACAGCAGAATTGACAACTACCTCACTAAGCAAGGATTCAGGAGGAGCCAAAGTGAACCAACTCTATACATCAAAAACCAAGGTACAAATAGTACACTTATAATCTCTTTATATGTTGATGATCTCATCTACACAGGGAATGATGAGAAGATGATCAAGAAATTCAAGGAAGATATGATGAAAACGTTCGAGATGACTGATCTGGGATTAATGCACTATTTTCTTGGGATCGAGGTAACTCAATCTAAAGATGGAATATTTATAGCTCAGAAGAAGTATACCACCAATCTATTAAAAAAGTTCAAGATGGAAGGTTGCAAAACGGTAGCAACACCTCTGGATAGCAACAAATCACTCAGAAAAGAAGACGGTACTCCAAAAGCAGATAGTTCACAATTTCGAAGCTT